TCTCTCTCTCTCTCTCTCTCTCTCTCTCTCTCTCTCTCTCTCTCTCTCTCTCTCTCTCTCTCTCTCCTCTCCTCTCCTCTCCTCTCCTTTTTACCCATTATTTTCAGAATCACAAACTCTCATCAAACCAAGGAAGTCGAAGCTGTCTTCACTTACACTATTTCACTTCTATCTCTCTAGCCGTCTAGCTGGGCATACCCAGGAAGACCTGGAAAGAGGGAATGGAGGGAGGCAGTTTTCTCTCTACATCTGTCTCTCTCCACTGCCTCTCTTGAGCCCTGTTTCTGAAAAGGACCAAAGCACATCCTTGAAGTTGGCACTACCCAGGCTCGGTGAATTCAATCACTTAACAGTCCCTTACCTCACTCACATAGCCCTTCCATGACGGTCCTTCCCCAGATAGCCACAGCGCTCCAGCCACCATCCCCACCCAGACATGTGGTCCGATGTCCAGAGGGACTTGTGTTCACATTCGACCATGGCATCCTCGCATCCTCAAGTCCAGGTCTTAGTGTTCTCAGCCTGCTGAGCTGTCAACCTGTAGGCAGTTTGAGGGCAGAGGGAGTGGAACAGATACATCAAGCGCCCCCGTGCTTAACAACCATTCACATATCCAGATGGATTGGTGCAGTGGGGGAGGTAGAACTTTCCCCCAGCTGGGTACACACCATGCAAATGGCTGAATTGCCTTCCTCCACTCTTTGACGACTGAGTGATGCACTTGGGGTCAGATGTTTAGATTAAAGGGGGCTGGGAATTCCTTTGTTTAATTCCACCTACTTACTGTACACACAGCAGTGAGAAGCCTGCGTGCATTTCACTTCCAAGGCTTCACACACACCCACTCACCCATTTATCCTCATTATGCTCTTTTGTTCCATTTAACCTTCTTTGGATACAACGGGATTTTTTTCTGGAGATTTTAGAGACTTAATAACATTGCACATTTGTTCTTCTTATAGCACAATATGCTGAATGGGAACTGGATGATATTTAGGTTGAGTTTCATAAAAGCTTTCAAGTAATACAGAAGTAGCAACATAACGGTGGAAAGTCAGCTGAATTCAGAGGACTGTGAATTCAAATTTGATCTTGGACAAGTCACTTGACCTCTCTGGGCCTCAGTTTCCTCATCAGCAAATATGAGGGATGGACTAGATGACATCTAATGTCTCTTTGAGTTCTAAATAAAAGATCCTGAAAAATATGGGAATATGAATAAACGAAATCTCAAGTTATATTATTTTGGAAGTTTGAGACAGGTGCTATACTTAGTAGAAATCTAACATCTTGTTACAGGACTTTGAAAAAATTTAAGTATACACTAGCAAGCAAGAGCTAGCATAGAGTAATATATAACACAATAGACTTGTAGCCAGGAAACACACCTCAAAAACTTATCAGATGAGTGACCCTGGGCAAGTCACTCACTACTCAGCCTCAGTTTCCTTGTATGTAAAATTAGGATAATGATACTTGTATAGCACTTATATAGCTGTTGTGAGGATCAAATGATATAGTGTATATAAAGTATTTTATAAGCCTTAAAGTGAGATATCAATATCATCTTTGAAAAACGTGTTTTATAGTAGTCTCCACAACTACTAAAATTTTGAATAAGGAGCCTCAGCAATAGTTAGCACCCTTCTAAAATGGCCCCAAAGAGTGAGGTTCCTGAAAAAGTTGCAATTCAGAATGATGTTAGGTTCTCTAATACCTTTTTGTTGTAGGGCACTGCTGCTTCCTGTAGGGATTCTATTTCAATCAAGACTGGAGCACATTTGTTGATTGTTATTCTTAACCATTTTTGTGGTTCACTAATGATTGCTTTCCCATAGTCACAGTAAAACATCTCTTGATTCTTTGAGAGCATGTATGTGTGTGTGTGTGTGTGAGAGAGAGAGAGAGAGAGAGAAAGAGAGAGAGAGAGAGAGAGAGTATTTGCCATTCACGATTTTTTTCAAGCAATTACCTCCCAAGCTTGCCCAAGTTTAATGCTCTGTTCCTTCAGAACAGCCCCATCCCATAAAAAAAGCTGAGGTCTATAAGCTCAGATCTCCAGTCATCTTTCCAAGCTCAGACTTTGTTAATCTGGGGATTACAATATTTATTAAGCACCTGCTTTGTGCCAGGCCTTATGCTAAACTCTGGGAATAAAAAAAAAATCAGCAAGACAGTGCCCACCCTCAACGAGCTTATAATTTCTACCCCTTAGTTCTTTCCCAGGCCATTTCCTTTGTACTGGCTACATTCTTTTCCCTTCTCCAGCTTTCTTCCTTGGTGAACCAATTCAACTCTTCTCTATTCTGTACTCTCCAGGCCCTTCCACCCTTATCCCATGGCTTATCGTGCCCTACCAAACACCAATCTTAGATCATACCCTGTGATCCACTGAAACTGGCCTCTTTGAACATGACTTTTGACTGAGCAGTTTTGCTGGCTGTCCTACATGCCTGGAATGTTCTCCTTCCTTATCTCTACCTTCTTATCTTCCAAGTCTCAGCTACAGTCCTACCTTCTTCAAGGAGCTTTTCCCAGTCTTCCTTTAATCTTAGTGCCTTCACTCCAAGACTACTTCTGATTTATCCTATATCTATCTTGTTTGTACATATTTTTTGCATGTTGTCACCTCCATTAGATTATGAGCTCCTTGAAAGTAATGACTGTTTTTTGCCTTTTTTTATATCTCCAGTGCTTAGCACAATGCTTAGCACATAGTAGGTACTTAATAAATGTTAGTTGACTGACAGATGCCCTCCACCCATTGCCTTCTTTCTTATTCATGTGATGCTGAGTAAAGGGAGAGAAAATCATGAAACCCTGCTAAGTGGATCTGGTACACATTTATGTTACATAATCTCAATTGGATTGTCACCGCACATCCTTTTTATAGCTCCCTAATTTGTTCACCATCCACTCACCACAATGGCTTCTCCAAACCTTTTTAACCCTCTCTAAACTTCTGATGGCTTGCCCTCTCCAAATCCTCTCAACTCAGATTCTTGCCTAGTATTGAGACACTTCACTGAAAACTCCCTCTTCTCCCCTACTCATCTCACATCATTCACATGCTTCTATCACCCCCTTTACCCCTTCACACATGATGATATGGCCTTTCTCCTGAAAGGCAAACCCCTTTATATGCACAAGTGATCCAATTCCGCTCCATCTTCTCTAGTAGATTGGCCCCTCTATCATCTCTACTCTCTCACTTATCTTCAGTCTAGACCTGTCTACTGGCTGCTTTCCTATTGCCTACAAATATACCCATGTCTCTCTATCCTTAAAAAAAAACATTTGATTCATCTCTCCCAGTTATCGATCACCCTATATCTCTCCTGCCTTTTGCAGCTAAACTCTGTGAGAAGGCCATCTACAATTCGTGTCTCTACTTCCTTTCTCCTCCCTCTTTTCTTAACTCTCTGAATTTTGGCTTCCTAACCTCACCATTGAAAAAAAAAACCCCAAAGTTACCAATGATCTCTTAATTGCTAAGTCAAATAGGTTTTTTACTCAATTTTCATCCTTCCTGATATGTCTGCAGCTTTTGACACTGTCAGTCACCCTCTATTCCTTGACATCTTTTAAGTTTTCATAACACTACTCTAACCTCCAGTATCCCTAACCCCCCAGTATCTTGGCTCTCATCTCTACTCGACTATCTTAGGTCCATGCTATACTGCCACAATTCAGGTGTTCCCCATCATTCTCTGCTTCACTCACCCATCTGAGAAAAGAAGCAACAAGTCAGCCTGTTGAGTGCTCAGACACCATCCACCAGAGGAGCCCTGTCCCAGACCAACAGTACAGAAACTTGACCCATCCATGAGTCAAATGAGTGCTTCATGTGAAAAACATCTTCTGGGCATACCATCCCCGTTCATCTTCAAATGAGCTGAACTAGGCTGAGTTCCATCAGCCATTGAAAACCCAATCACCAATTTTTTTACTGACCCAGAAGCCTGAACTATCTTGATAATTCTGTTTCTTCTTCCCTAGTGTTGGGGAGAGAATAGATTGATGCTGACCACTGTCATGGTGGATGACTGGAGCCCCAAACAACTGATACTTCCCCATTAAATGTTTATAAGACTCCCACCTCTTCTTTTCCCAATCCCTGAGAGTCAGAAAACTCATTCCCCAGCTATTTCACCTTCCCCTCCTCACTCTCTAAGCCCCATCCTTTCAGCTATGCCCCTCCCCAAAACCCAATCCACCTCTGCCTTCCCCTTCCATTGAGGCTCCTAGTGCTCCTATTCCATCATTAACAAGCTTCCTTTGACCCTAGACCTCTTCTCACTTCCTTGTTTCTATCTTCTTGATGTTGCATCTTCTCCAAAACTATGTTTTCTTTCTCTTATGCCTCACCTCTAGCAAAATAGACTAGGAGGAGAAATAGGCATCTTCTTCGATTCCCTCTTCCAGGCCCTCCTGCTACCATCACGCAGTAGCCCTTTTGAAATTCACTTCATCCATCTCTACCATACAGACCACAATTGTGGTATTCTGCTGGACTCTGGGTCACTCATCCACCTTTCTCATGTTCAGTTCCTTGTTCAGTTTTTCTTTCTAACCCCAACTTTATCTTCATAGTCAGAGATTTCAATATGCATGTCGATATCCTCAAAATTTCCTCGGCCTTCCAGTTCATTAGCTTCCTTAACTTGTATGATCTATATTTTCACTCTACTTCAGCCACCCACAGGGATGCTCATAACCTAATCTCACCATCACTCATAACTGGGATACTTCCATTGTCCTGCAATCTGGAATTTCTCTTCCCATAACCTCCTATCCTTCCATCTCTTTCTATTCTGTTTTACTCCTACTAAACCTATTTTCCATTTTTTTTTAAGTGGGCTTTTATTTCTTTAGGCAATTGGAGTTAAGTGACTTGCCCAGGGTCACACAGCTAGTGTCAAGTGGTTGGTCTGAGGCTGGATTCGAACTCAGGTCCTCCTGACTTCAGGGCCGCTACTCTATTCACTGCACCACCTAGCTGCCCCTATTTTCTGTTATTACCACAACTTCCACCCTCTCAGGGGTGGAATCCCTATAATAAAGTAGCAAAAAAATAAGAAGAAGAAAATTAAAAAGCTCAGCAAAATCAACCAACATCAGAAAAGTCTGACATTATATGTTCTACATTCTATATCCATAGAACCTCATTTCTGCAAAGGATCCAGATTAGTTATATTTTCATATCTGTTCTTTGGGGCCAAGCTTGGTCATTTTAATTTTTACAACATTCAGTTTCAATTATTTTGTTTGCATACATTTTGTAATTAAATTTTCTGAATACATTTTGTTTTCCCTCAATAAAATTTAAGGTACTCAAAAAAGAGAAAGTGTTAGGGAGTTGTGAGGAATTGAGGGAATTGAGGTGATTGAAGCAGCAAGTGGTAGTGGGAATTGAGTGAACTACAGTGATTTTATCTTGTGACTCAATTCTGGATCTAATTCAGTTCCCTTTCTTTTCAATTATGGGTCTAGTTCAATTTCTGTAGTTAGAAAATTTCATTTGATTGTGAGAATTAGGAGAAACCTTATTACTTTGTTTGAATCTAGCCTTGCATGACTGGGAAACTGGACCATTTCTACCTGCTATTTAGAGATCCTTAACTAAGGATGTAGGTTATGTTGA